CACTCAGGAACCTCGTGAAATGTTCAATGGTATACAATTATGGTGAAAACATATCAGACACCTACTAATTCTATTTCTAAAAACAATGTTTTTGCAAGGGTGGCATGGTTGTATTTGAAATTGTTTTATTAAATATTATAATGAAGCTTTGGATTTGTGTGTCAGAATTGAGGAAATAACAATTTGGTTTTGAAATGGTGGACTTGTTATTATTTAGAGGGGGTACTGAACTTATCCAATATACCAGTACCAGTATGGTTGAATCAGCTTTATTTCTGGGACATGTAACAACTGTGATGATTCAGTTTGACTATAATTAGATTTCAAAAATTACATAAACAAATTATTCCAAGTTATTACATTATTATCTACAGAGAGTTAAACTGTAGTATGGGACATTTACATTAAACACCACCACCAACTTTTGTCCTGTTTACAAAATAACAATTCAACAATTTTGATCAAGACCTATATCACAGGTATGATACTCTATACAAACATAGTTAACAGTGGGTAAACTACCCAGAATGCCATTTGTTTGTTTTTTTAGTGATGAATAAATTAGCAGTAAATATTTTTTACATCATCTCCCAACCCAACTGCACGAGGGCGACAAAGATAGTTGTAAATGACTTAATTTTTTCAGGCATATCAGATAAGCACTGTGTGGACAATAAAGGCAGACGGGTTGATGAAGGTCAAAGGTTCACTCCCCAAGGTGCTGATAACTGTATGAACTGTACATGTACTCTTGGAGAAGCCAATATGTGTAGATCAGCTCAGTGTGCTCCACCCCCAGATTGTATTCATACTATTCAAGACCCAGAGAAATGCTGTGCGTACACGTGTATGGATGATGAATATCCTAAAGGTAAGCCACTTCCATAATTAGTTCCCCTCATGAGAGAAAGGCTTCAATAGTTTTGTTGTATTTTATGGCCATCTGTTGGCCATTTATATTAAATAGATTACTATAGTGTTTTATCTGTTAGAAGGATAACACAAAAAGTTATTGATGGATTCACAGACAATTTCTAGGAGGGGTTTCACAAACCCACTAAATTTTGTTGAAGATTTACCATGGAAACAGCAACTTCAGGTTGATTTTTCAACAAAATTTTGGGCCAAACATAATTATAAAATTATTCTCATGACATTTTTACAAGGCGGTTGAAATAGAAAGAAAAATGTTTTTAATGATTATTCATTGTCAAAAAATGAAACAAGTTAATAAAAAAAGTAGAGGATATTTTTCTGGATCAGAACTGGAGAGATCTGGATTTTAAGAATTCTTCATCAATGCCTGATAGAGTTGTTTTCTTGAGTGAACAACCCTATTCAAGACTCAACTTGGTCTTCTTTTTCATAAAGAAATTAGAAACTTTTGCAAGTGTTACAAACATACAATACAGCCGAGATATATTATGTAATTTGCATATATTTTCACTCTTGATTGCCTTCTAGTAATCAGAATTTTACTGTGTCTGTTGAAGTACAATCAGCTCGGCAATAATGACAAATCAAATCAGTATATTCATTTAAAAAAAATCCATTACCCTTTGAAAATGATTCTCATTAAAAAACAGTTACCACAGTTTTGTTTTAAAAAATTACCATAAGGTAATAGAATTGGCAAACAATTCAATGAAGTTTGAATTGCTTGTTCCATTTTCTTTGAATTTCGTTTTTTCTCCCCATTTCCACATTATCTTCATGATGAAATTTGTTTAAAACACTGTGATAGATGTATATTAATGTTTTGCGTTACAGAAGACCTACTAGATTTTAGTACCAGTATGAGGTGGGTGTTGACATCGGCTACATCATTTCTTATTTTGGGTCTACTACTATTCATGGTGTATAGACTGCGACAAAGACGACTTGCTCTCATCCATTACACATCAAGTAAGTGCTCTGGTACCATCAGTCAGAGTATTTTCACATTCTACAAACATTAAATTTTACTGACATTTCAAGTAGAACACAATGATTTCTTTTGTATTACGGGGCTTGAACTCAACAGGGGCATTGACGGCAAATGCCTTGATCCCAAGGAGTTTTCCTTGATGCTCGTTGGAAAATACAGATTTTCCCCGGACTATATTACTTCTATACGCTGTTATTTTATCTAATTGTTTTCTTGAAAATGGGTTCCTTCTGATATTCAAGCCCTTGGTAGTGACAGTTTCTTCTGCAATCATGCTTAATCATTTTCACTTCCCCTACGTTCTCTGAAAAAAAAATGCAAACTCCAACAATGTATGACATCAAGGCCTTTACATGTATTTCAAACATTTTGGTACTTATACATGTTTCTATACTACTGAATTAAAATCATATAAGATAATAACCACTTGGGCACTCTTTCAATTTAGTGTTGTAGTGCGAATTATTTTTAAGATCTCTACCAAAATAAGCACTACTCTGGCAATATTATGTTGGGAAAGGAACTGTTACTGATATAATTTGTGCATCAAATTTAAATAGACAAATTCTCTATAATCGACATTGGTTATTAAAACTATAAATATCAGTCCGCATTGAATATCTTCTCATCACTGTCAACTTTTATAGACCCTGTGTACTGCATTTGCTCTGTTAAAAGCGCATTTAAATCAAAAATTACAATTTATCGTATACTTGATCATTAAAATACGTCTGATTTAACCATAGACTTGAATGTCATTTACGTAGTATTGAAGCACATGCCCATTAAAATACAACTTCTTTTGATGCAGCTCTGTCATTATTATGCAATTAAAATACTAGATTATTAAAATATGACACACCTTTCATTTATGTAAGCACATACACCCATAATAGAGTTAATATTGTACATGTACATGTTTTCTTTTCAGGAAATGAATTTACTCACAGATCAGGTCATACATGTACGTTAGATTCTGGTTCTAGTTTGACCCCGACCTCCCCAATGGATGATATTGATGCTGGCATCTATCGAGAACCCCCACCTCCATATAGGTGAGAAATATTAACTGCAGTTATAATAATAATAATAATAACTTTATTACACAACTTTAAACTTAAAATAATAGCTTTTTTATAATGCAACACAGTTGTCACTTTTGTGTGTACCATGTTTTTACCTCCTGTGTGCGAAGCACACAATGGGAATCATTGCAGTTTGTGTCTGTATGTATGTATGTATGTAAATGAGGCATACACACGCCGACCTGAGCTCCTGCTGACAGCCGTATTTTTCACCTTCAAAATAGTTGCGCAAGTTTTCTTTTTGTTTCAATCCTTTTATAAGTGTTCACTGGTTTTACTTACTCATTTTTGGTTCATTTCGGCAAAAATCTGCCCGTTTTTCGACTGATTTTGTTGTTGGTCGTTTTAGTTTGGTGGAGTAGCCAAGATGGCGACTGCCACATTGACCACACGTGTCAATCCATTTTCGGGATTGACCAGGAAACATGGAATTCGATGCGAATCAATCACTGGTTGTCAGTATTGAGGCATATGTTAGTGCTTTGGCAGATATTGTTGGCCCTCAAAATGTAATCGCTGCCTCTCGTGTCAGTGGCAGCGTGATTGCTTTTCTAGATTCGTTGCAATCGGTGGAGCAGGTGTGTACACTTGGTGTTCAAACAATAGGTGATTGTTTTCTTTATGTGGAGCCCTTAGTTAAACCTGCAACCAAAGTAATACTGTCTGGTGTGCCACCGTTTATCACAAACGCTGCCCTTGAGGCAGAACTGCACAAATATGGCGTGTAATTCCCCTGGGTTGTAAAATACCTCAGCTCAAACACGTCAAATCATTTCGCAGACAAGTCTACATGATTTGCAGTGATAAAATTGATGGTGTCATAAACGTTATACATGAGCAACATACCTACAGAATTTATTTGTCTACAGATGAAATTGTTTGTAACAAATGCCACAAAAAGGGCCACATAAGACGCAACTGTTGACAAAATGACGAAACATTAAACATACATACCAGTAGTGGTGAAACAGAAATGGAAACAACTAATACACAAATCTCACAACTAGAAACTAATAATGAAATACCCGAAACCGGTCCTACTATTTAACGCCCGGACACGCGAGGGAGTGTCCGGGCACGCGCGGAGGCGAACAGGGGGGAATACCTAACACGCGGGGCAGCGGCAGCAATCCTTGTACTGTATAATATTTGTTTATGCTCAAAATTTGAACCGGAGTGGCGAATTCGAGCAGCTATCCACACTTTTTATGATTGACGCCCGGGCATTCCGGCAAGTCGAGTCCGCCATGTTGTTTACTAATTTGGGTTTGTGTTTAACAATAGGACAATACCATTCGATCCATGGGGGTGA